GGTAAAAGTTAAGATGTTTTAGCATTTTAAATGTTAGAACTCTCTGTAAAATTATACAAATATCCTTAATAAATTTTTTTATAAATTAATTCATTAAGCATACTTTGGTTTTTTCAATTATCAGTTTTGACATTTTAATTGGTAAGACGTACTCATTTTCCTCAATCTCATATATATATTTTTTATGTGATTTTTCTAAAGTACACTTTCCATAATCAAAACACAACATATATTAAAATGTTCCTAATAGTATGTTTGATTTGAAAGAGGTGACGAAAGAAGCGAGTGAAAATTTCTCTATTTGATTAATAAAAAATTTGGAGGAGAGGGGAATAGAGGAAAATGGAAGGATATCATATCCTTTCATTTCCCTCCATTTCCCTTCATTTTTTTCAAACTAGCCATACTGTAAGGGATGTCTTAGTCGTTAAGAGATTAAATTTCTATTTTAAAGATCTCAAATTTAAATTTTGGGATGGGTAAAAAAGGGTTGGGAAGCAAAGGACTATCCTTTGTTGTATATCTTATCATCCTCTCTCCTTACAACCTGATCAACTTCACTTAAGCCGTAATCGTTGGGGTGGATGATTTGCACTTTGGTTCAAATTAGTCTAAACTTTTTTATGATAAAGCAGAATTCTATTGAAAACAAGAAGTAGTGCTAGGTATTATTGTAGGTTTAAAAGCATAGCTACAAAATAAAGAAAGGAAGCAGAGGATACAACATACCAGACAACCCTAAATACACCACTTAAAAGCTGATTGGCACAGCAGAAAACATCATAATACAAAGATAAAAGAAAAGCCAAACCCTAAAGTACAAAGCTTGTAATCCTATTAGATGTACTTCAACATGAAATCATGATACTCCTTAAACAAGAATAGGATCCACAAACAATGAGGCAATTTGGTCTTTCAATAAGTAAGACCTTGTGTAAGCATCATCGTCCTTGTATATGAGATCCAATGTGCGTGTCATGTTGACAATGCGAGTAATAAGAGGGGTCGGAAAGATTGTTGGTTTCATTCGCTCCTTATTGATCACTTTCCATGCATCCACAATTTCTCTCTTAAGTGATTCTACAGCCTCTTCCTTTGAAACACAATGTTGCTTCATGTAGCATTCAACAGCTGAGGCGTGGTGATCCCGCTGTCGTTCAAACTACAAATGAACAAAATGTATCCAAATCAAAACACACGTCGAGCACTTGTCACATACATACATACATACATACCTGATGAGATGCAATATCGTTCATTACTCTTCCAATAAATGAACAAGCCTCAACTATCTTAGGATTTTCAAAAATCCAATCAAACGCTTCCTTAGACGCAATCTTTCCCATGCCAACGAATGAATTTGCTATGACCAAGGGAATACCACCGCTTATGAGGCCATTCTGCATATACTCCTCATATGATGGAACACAACCTTCTTCACGCCACTTGGCTTCAACTAGGTAACTTTTAGCAATTTGTTTCATCTGTTTAGTAAACAACCAAATTAAAATGGCATGACACGGTTACTAATGATAATATTATAGATCATTATAGAAAGTTATCCAAGAAGATTACTGATTCCTTTCCGTAATGTGCAGCGTACTGTCTTCCTTCTTTTGCAACCTCGCCCTCAATTGCACTGTAAAGATCTAATAGTGCCTGATAAGCTAATTTCATGTAGTTTGGAAGTTGATCTATGACTCCAATATCCCATCTGCAGTTCATTATGCATATATAGAAAAATTAATTATTAATTAATTCTCATTTCAAGAAAAATTAAATTAACTGGAAACATCAATTTTATCGATATAAAGTAACGGAAATTGACAGTTTGTAATGGATTTTGTAACTTTATAAGTTGTATATATCATTTTTCAAATTAAATATATTGGTTAGTGTTGTTTTATTCAAAATCACATTAAAATTAAAGTGAAATAATCAAGGAAGAATTTAATTACCTTTCAATACATTTCTCGAAAATCTTGAGCTCTTCATAGATCCCGTAGCTATCAAAAGTATCATCCACAATGGATGTGATTGCTAAAACTTTGGCCAGAAATATTCTTGCTGCTGAGTATTTTGGCTCATAGTAGATTCCCATCATCCAAAAATAGCACTCTATCAATCTATCCCTCGCATAAGGTAGCTTTGACGTGAGGTCCAATTTTTTCCACCACCTAAAAACGAGCCATGCCGTAATTATTAGTATAGTGACGAGCATTATATATATATATATGTGTGTACATATGTACAATGTATAGTCTTCTTTACATATTTGAACTTACTCAGTGATTCTGCTTAGCTCCTGTTGGTGCAATGCTTGTACCACGTTGAAATCTATCTCCGCAAATCTTAATAATGCTCCTTGACCGGAAGCAAAGTGATCATCTTGAGAGTAAAAGGATATGCAACGCTTTGCTTCTGTTCTGGGAAAGCTTTTCTGGATGGGTCGGTTCAAGGCATGAGTTATTTGTTCTATAAGCTGAGTGCTTATCTGTTTTTGAGTTGCAATCGATTCAAGACTAGAGGTAGTGAATGCAAGGGCTTCATCGAGTATATCTTCTCCTTGTATGCCAAAATGCGCAGCCTCGTACAAATTCAACATGCCGGTGACATCATTAACCAAGTCTGCCTTGAACTTTCCTTTCTTATCCACAAACTTTTTAAATACCTCTGCCATAAAAGGAAGAATTTATCTAACTAATGATATCATTAACAGAGATGATGAGATTGTTAGAAGTTAATTAGGAAAAAAGATTTACCAGATGGTGCCTTGATTCCTTGTTGCCTGAGGAGTCGAAACCAAAGAGCAACGGTGGAGAGATCATAGTCTACCACACCATCATCGTATATCTTCTGTAATGCATCCTCTATTTCTTCCTCAAAATGGTAATCGACACCCAAGAATTGGACTGCGTTGATTAAATGCAATTTCTTGGAATGATCACTGTTACCATCTTTAAGCATCTTGCTCACCTCTTGTTTCAGATCTTCAAATTCTTGTTTAGTTGTCAAGCCAGTACTTTTCTGCACCAATAGTTTCAAAAATAAGCCAGCACAAAATGTTACATAATGAGGCACGAAAGTAATAAGCTGCGTTAAGGTGTTTGTATATATATATGCATACTTGGGAGTTTACTACCATGAAGTCGGAGGAATGTTCAAGGAAACGATCCCTCCACAGGCAAGGATGAAAGTTAGCCGTAGGACGACCCTTTTTGGCTGTTGCATTTTGTGGAGAGGTAGGGGTAGGGGTAACAAAGTCTTGAACTGACATTGTTATTCCTTTTTTAGATCTCTGAAATGGAAGACCCAAGAGCTATTTTGTTTAGGCAGCGGTTGCACAGATTTCGTGGCATAAAAGAGTTTTTGTGCTTTGGTATTTATAGAGCATCGCCAAGTGATTTCCCTAGGGTATACATTAAGAGCTTGTTTGATTAAACGACACATTTATTAAGAAAATTTTTATTAAAAAATAATTGAAGAAATAATAAATTAAAAGTTATTAAATTTTATTTGAATTTTACTAGATTATTAATTTTGTTATATTTACTAAGAAATTAATATAGAAAAAATTAGTAGAAAATGATGTTAAAGCATATTTATTATAGAAAAAATTATAGGAATTTTT